GAATTTGTCAATGCCATTGACGATCCACTTTATTCGGCACTTGGTCGCTTTTTTCGTAGATTGCAAAAAGAACGATTAAAAATAGCTCACGGAACCAAAACAAAAGGGGAACAGCTGCAAGGAAACGGATACCTTGTAGAGAAGGATCTCCCTCCATATATGGAGAAAAGAAAATAATCGCAATTCGGTTTCTGGGTTACATTCTATATACTCTTATTTTGGTTACGTGAGCTATTTTTAATCGTTCTTTTTGCAATCTACGAAAAAAGCGACCAAGTGCCGAATAAAGTGGATCGTCAATGGCATTGACAAATTCTGGAAACCCTTGATTTGACTTGTCAACTGATTAAATTGTAACTGCTTGTTGTTTATTTTTCGATAGGTTCTATGGGTCATTCAAGTGACCTGGCTGCAATGGTTGTTCGTGCTGATTGGTTCGGTGGCGAGTGGGGCTGTGCTCATACAGTCCTTGTGGCCTTCGTTGCGGCCCTCAGTGTTGGATGACACGACCAAGTCCTGGTCCTCTTGGGGCCTTGTCGGGATCGTTGCCTTTTTCCATCTTCTTCTGGCGGTGGGATTCATGGTGGGTTTCTGAATCCACACGAGTGTGCCGTGTTCTGTTTTAGCGATGAGTACGTTTTACGCATGAACATCCTATTTTTTTTGCGCACTTGGTTTATTTTCTTTGTTGGGAATGGGGTATTTATTGTTTCTCTACACTTACCTGCGATACGTTTTTATCTTTTTCTTGCGAATTTTTTGCACTTCATTTTATCATACGTTTTGGATTCGTTCTGTACGTGGCTTCGGTTTTGTTTATACTGTACTGTACTTAATTTCAAGCGGAAAAATGTGTCAACATTTTAAACACCGCTAAAGTAACTGGCGATTCTTTCGTAAATTGTTGGAAGTTCTTGCTGCCGTAAAAATTTATTTTTACGGTCTGCTGACGTCATGTGATTTTAACGAATGCTAGTTCATAATTAATTTTTGCAATACAGTACAAGTTTTGTTTTGAGGACTTCATGGCAGGTATTTAGAATATCTTACTGGTCTTCAAAAAGTGTATGGAACTTTGCCAGTCTGCAGAAAATAGTATGGCAATTTCCCGGTCCGCAAGAGATTCCATTACAATTTGCTTGTCTGCGAACAAGAAAGGTTGGGGAACACTGCCCTGGAGGCCTAGAACACAACTGTTCTGTACTGTACTTCCTTCACAGTTACCATCTCATTTTCTGAACCATCTTTTCTAGAATCTGATTGAGCTTTTATGTTGAACAAGGGAATTTTCTTTGTCTTCCATGTTATTGCCTTAGATTTCCTACCGAGGAGGATATGTATTCCTCGATAGAAGTGAATTTGTATTTTATGTATACAGTACTATACTACATCAATTGTTAGTTCGCGAATCAGAGCAGCACCATTTTTCAAAGCATTTGTTGCCTTGACAATTTATGCAGGATTTGGCTCCGAATAGAATTTTGTCTGTGCAATTATTGAGCACAAAATTGACGTTACTCGAACTCAGAATATGATTTCAATGAAATTGTCAATTTTCAGCTATACTTCTTCCACGTGCCAGCGACTGCAGTTCCTTCTCAGGTCGACTCAAACAATCTACCCGAAATTCCCGCTACTGAGAAACCACTGGTGAAGGTCGAAGCACGAAAGGAACCTGCTCTCAAAAACATAGATGCTGAACAGGCGGCAAGAGCCGTGGGTGTGAGATCAAACACGTCGAATAACCTCAAGGATAATCCAGATAACGTGAAGGATGGTGGATCCAACCAGAAAATTAATGGAACGAATCGATAATTTTTATTTTAAAAATGTTAGCGGGATTTTGTTGGTTGTCTAAAGCCTCTCCTTTTCTTCGTTGTTCTTCTTGAGGTGCAGTCCAAACATTACATTTCTCCCGTTGGCCGCGTTTTCACTCAAGTACAGTAATTAATCTTCTTGTAGCCTCTTTCAAAAGGACCATAGCTTTGATTAAAAGCGAAGTAAGTTCAATGCTAATGCACTTGATCAACAATTCTGGACGAGATATAATCGAGAAACTATTTTTAACGATTTGCTTTGAATGGCATGCTCAGTAATGACCTGTAATCGTCATCATGGCTGAAGCACGTCATGGTTTAAAATTAGTATTTGTTTCACAATGTTCACGTACCCTACTGGTGATTCATCGACTTGGAAGTTCAATTCATGCTTAATTTCTGCGTTGATTTCCTCGCATGATGAACGAAAATATTATTAGATGGAAGCCGCCGCTTCTCTGTTTGAACGAGGTTACTAATATTGTTTGTATTCTCCCTCTTGCCTTATCTGTTCGCTATTCCCAAAGTATGGGAAAAATGGCCGGTGGGAAATCGGATTGTTTTCTTCATCATTCTCTTATTGTTCCTTGCCTGCGTCACGGATTGTGTTGTTTTACGATTCTTGATCGTGAGAGTGTTTCTGCTGATTTTGCTGCACATTTGCATGGTTTAGTTGCGGAGGTTCAGAGGAAAAGTCAGCGAAAAGATGACTTCAGGTGGGGGTTGCTGTGATAATCGATCGGTTTTCTTGAAGCACTTGGAATGAAACGAGACTGTTGTACGTTAATTGCGTTTTATTACTTCATCGGTTTTTTTCGGGCTTTCTGATTTCATGTTCAGGTGTTCTATTGCTGAGATCAAGCTCTGTAAATACAGTAGTCGTACAGTATTCAATTTGTTCACATTGCTAATCATCCTAAGCCTAGCTGAATGCATTATTTATAGTTCTGAACTATTTTTCAGCTGCACATATGTGTTCAAAAAATTTGGTTGCACAGGTAAAATTATCGAGATAGGATTAAAATTCATTATTTTAGGCGTGGACATCATTTTGGATGTCCTAAATCTTGTGAATCTAAGCCTCATTTTTTTCACTTCACCATACATGTGACATATTTTGACCAGGACTCCATCAATCCTCATCGAGTTGAATCCTTTGTACAGTGCGTAACTGTAACAGGTGATTGTATAGCTATAGCAGCTTTTTTCCGATTTACAATGCAGGTTCTTTTTTCTAGAAGCCTTACGGAATCTACTGTACTGAACCTTCATTCCGCATGGCATATGGAATTCATTATCGCAGGGCGCAACTCTCCTGGGTTTTCCAGCATACCTAAGATTTAGGACAGAGGGTGTTCCATTTAAGGGACAGTATAAAAATATTATTGTGTCTATCCCATACCATGCATGGAAGATGTGATGATACATCTCAATAAAAAAAAATCTTGGTAAACTGAAAATACACTGTACTGCATGGCGTGCCCACGGCCCTCTTAGTTCATCAGGTAAAGAATGTCCACATAATGATACCGACGTGCAGACTCATATGGATTCTGGGAAATCAGCTGAACAAATTCAACAGAGTAAGGTTTAATAAATGAGTCTTCGTCCAGCGTTGCGAATCAAGCAGAGTTTAATAAAGTCCAACTCCGCACATGACACGAACACAATCACAATCACAAAGTCAGATCATCAAAACTAGAACCTTCTTCGTCAAAAGTCAGAATTCGAGTGCCCTTCTCTGGACAGAAACCTCATCGCGTCTCCTCCGATCAAGATAAGCATCTCACATGGGATACTTCCGGGTGGGTAATGCGAATGCATAAAAAGCGTTTCAAGTAGGTGAGATAGGTGTCGCCCTTGAGGGCTCCGATAGGGGGCCCTTACTACAGAAAATTATGCAAGCATGTGAGCGGCGAACAGTTCCGGTCGAAGTAGAAGTTTCATTTATGCGATTGACCGACGCGTGTTGTGTGCAGCTATTTTGGAATGATGTGTTTCCTTGTGCGTTCAGTTCGCGAGTAAGTTCGATTTTACAATCGCAGTCTCCGAAGAAATATCTCCGTAATATTCATGCATAGTATGTGTTGGTGCATTTAAATTAGTTTGTAGTTGGTCTGGTCGATGAAATGGCCATAATTGTGTTGCAGATGAAGCAAATTCGCGTTGAATTTCCAGTGAAAATTGATGCCTGAGATATGGTTGTGCTGGATTCTCATCCGGTTTCAAACGGAAGCTTACTGGTGCGCCGTGTAGGCGATTGTTTGTTGTCTCGGAGTATCTGGTGAGTTATTTCTTTCGACTGAAAATGTGTGTCAGTCGAACTCTTAATAAGATCAATTTAATATCAGGGAAGATCTGCAGGTGAACTCCCTGTAATTTTTCTATTGTTCGCAGATCGTTTCTGGAATCCTTTCTTCACATCTTACCGTATTTGCTGTGGTTGTCGGTGAGAATTTTGCTTGATGTTTCATGTCCGCAAATATGTTTCCTTCGCTACACGAATACTGTTCTTTTGACAAATTTTCGTGGAGACGAATTTCATAAATAGCCAGTAGATCTTTAAACCGCCGCTTCCTATTTAAGCACAGCCGTGATTACTGTTCTACGTTTGCTTTTTTGCTTTTGCATCACAGCTCCGTTTGAAGAGTTACTAAAGTACATATTTATGCATACGTGTTTCGATGATATGATCAGCATGTCCGTAATTTTGTGTTGCCTGTTGAAATGAGTTTCTTATTGGTCGTGCTTTTACTGAATGGCTTTGTATTTCTTGGTATCCCTTGCGAACGGCGTAAACATTATTCGTGCTGTGGATGGTGAAGGGTTTCTTGTTGGGATGCAGATATGTGATGATTTTCGTTCTACTGTGTTGCAGAAGCGTACCGAGTGATGTGTGGACCAAATAGCATATCGAATTGTAAACGTAGTTTACCTGCAATCGAGTTCGGGCGTGAACTAAATAATATTTGTCGGAAATAAGTTAGCCTGATAGCTTCATGCATGTCTCGTAGCAGTTGGTGAGTACGTTTGTTAGTTGTGCTTTCCTATTTCTTTGGCGTTTCCTCCTGAGATAATCGTTCCGCACTTATATGCTGTACGTAGATGTGCTTGTTCATTCGCACGCTTTCGTCCAAGCACATGATTGCATTTACCCTTATTTATTCGACCGTAGGCCGCACTCGTATGCTAGGTATTTCAGATAAGATAACTCCAAAGCCTCTAAAGATTGGAAGGCTTACTGAGGATAAATCCCGCCAAATGCATGAATACTGTACAGTAAATGCAAGCATTGCAATTGGTCTGTACTTTTCGCCGGCACGAGCTCGCTCTCAAATTGCTTCCTTGCTTCGGAAAATCGAACACAAGTTTGCCTACTAGACAATGCTTTTTTATTTGAGCTGTAATCTTCATTAAACTGTTCGATTTCGAAAGGAAAACAAATTCTGAAATTATCTTGACAATGAACTGTGTGTTATACGTTTTCATTGCGGCCGGTGTGCGAATGTAATCAACTCCAGCGTTTTTGATGGGAATAAAGTGCGGCCTATAGTCGAATGATGCAGTAAATGGGACTCATTCATGCAATCAAGGGATTACCGCTTCACAGAATTCTACAGAGGATTCACTGTGATTTATAAACCTACTGTTGAGATTGAGTTTTAAATTTCGTATCTGTTCGTCTGTGCGGAGGAGTTTTGTTGGGCTTCAATCTTTTTTGGACTGTGTGTTTAATTTATTTATTTTTTCGAGCGCATGGTTATGTGAAACTTATGGGTCGTACTTCCATGTTTGGATTTCTGGCTTCTGTGTTGAATGGGAAACTGTCGCCACGTTGACCGAAAAGCAGTCGTATCGCTTGGAAATCGAGTAGACTGCCGTATGAAATTTCGACTCAGTCTTGTTCTGAAGGGTCTCAAAAAAATTTTTTTCCTTTAGTGATTCATCTTCTAGTGTAACGCCGAGCCTCTTCTGCTTCTCAAGAGCGATTCGTAATCATTGTAAATGAGGTCTACTGCGTGTGATGTCGAAATTCTCATCATCAAGAGTTACATTGGATTTTCGATTTCCGAGTGTTGCACGTGGGAATAAACTTATGCAAAAGTAGTCTGTAGTTTATTCAGTTACATTATTTTCCCGAAGTCAGATCGATGTTCTGATTTTTCTGAAGAGAAAAAAAAAATTGGTCACAAAGTTAATTTTCATCGCTTTTACTGCAGGGTGAACTGGTACATTTTGGCCCAATTTTTCAATCGTAAAATGAAAATGAAACTGTAATATAAACTGAATTCGGAGTAGTATCTCAGAAAATGTTCGACCCAAATTTACACTGAACTCATGACCCGAATCTCTCGTGTGCTGAATGACACTTCAAATTTTTGATGGCCCTGACATTTTATTGACTTATAATGAGATTTTCGAGGGTAATGCATATTTCGCAAGAAGTTTTCGGGGCTTATTTTAATCAAGAGTCACGTGTGAATGACAACCGAGTGAATGCGCGTTTTTTGTTTTTTTATTCTGATAAATGTGTGGAGATTTTTCATTATGAAACCAAGCAATTTTCCGAGTTTGAAGGCCGGACGATTGCGGGTCACGTGTGGATGCGATATGAGCTAAACGTTTCACGAGGAAATCTTCGCTTTCTGTGTTTGCCGTGAAGAACCGCGCGTTGGGAACGGAAACTTCTTCCGATAACGGCAAAGTCATCTTTTATCAGGTTGCTCGAGTCTCTTACGAATGTGTCTTGTCTTCGGTATTTTTATTACCCCCGTGGCATGAAGCTTATCAGCATTTTGAACCGCACATAGTTCAAGGACCTGAAGATACGTCTATCTATCGAAAAAGGTTCAATTCAAATGACCCAGCGGACGTGGGGAGTAATGATTTACAGTCGAGAGTTGTGAACTACCGAACCCGGCTTGCTTTATTGTGCAATGCTCTCTCTCTCTGTCGGTGATGTTTTAAGCCTAGTTCGACTTCTTTTTTTAGATCACTTGAATGCGGCGATTTTGTGGATGTGCAAGGCGTTTTTAGCTGTGAAACGATCTTGAGAACCCTGTGTTGAAAATAATTTGACGTTTCTAATAGTGTGAATTTCGGATAACTAGTGCAGTGTTCCCCAACCCATGGTCCGCAGAAATTTTTTGCAGCACAATGAATTCAGAAAAGTGACAATGAAGTCTGTTATGTCTTTTTTTCTGCCAACCGAAATTATTCAATAAAAAAGCTTTAAAATAATTTAGTAATAATTCAAGAATAAGAAATATTGAAATTAATATTTATATTATAATTAATAATAGAAATCCTGTATCTAGGATCTTGGAAGACCAATGGTAGTTGAAATTATCTGAAGAAAAAGTATAAGTTGGCTTTTCTTCTAATCGCGCTTCAGTCGTATTTTCACATGCTGAAATGAATTAGTTCAAGTTCTTCAGTCTGAGAAACCTTTTTCAAGCCCACCTTTCTAATTTTTTTGAAAACGTTCCACTATAAACCTGCTTCATTGGATCTTAATTTTTGCAGAAACTTTTTAAATTCCCGACAGCTGGAGTCTTTCAAGGAAAACTTCTTAGTCTGCAAAAATGTTGCGAAACTTTGCTGGTCTGCAAAATTTTTTTTTTGCGAAATTGCTGGTCCGCGGGCCCAGAAAGGTTGGGGAACACTGATCTAGTGCGTTTAAAATCGGGCTGGATTTTTTTTTTCGAGAAATTATCCCATTGTAAATGCAGTTGGAACTCATAAACTCGAACGTCCTTCAGCGAAATACCAACATGTTGAATTTTTCCAAGTCCCTGTCTTTGAATTCCCTTATAAACGATGCTGCAAAAACCTCCCTAGCTTGAATGCTTTCCCCTCTCAAACCTCCATAACTCGGATTTTCTGGATTTCTACTTGCTATGATTTTTGTGACGCAGAAACAAGAAAAAAAAATTAACTTGATTTTTGTTGAAAGGAAGGGAAAGAGCATTTGTGCAATAAACCTCCAAGTTCATCATCCTGTCAACTCATTTCAAAAGTAATTCCAGGCCTAGAATATCACCAATTATAAGTTCCTTTTTTTTCACACCAAAAGCTTGTTTCTCCAACTTGATTTTTGTGATCCCTTGAAGTTTGACTTGAAGAGGTTCGACTGTATCTAATAAATTACTGTATTTTTATTCGAAAATTTTTTGGCGCTTCTTGTCAGTAACTCTTCTACCAATGTCTCAAAAATTCCTCGGTGTACATTGTTTAATTATTGATACAGTATTGACATGCTCGCCATCTCTTGTCCCAAAAAGTATGAATTGGTGATGATGAAAATATTAATTTAAAAATACCGCTACCAGATCCGGAGTATGTATTCATCAGAAAGTTCGAAATTAAAAAATGATGCAGGTTTATTGAATTTCATCATTTTGTTTGACGAACACGTATCGTCTGTATTTCATCTGGAACTTAAAAAAAATGTGTCCATTTTGTTTTTAAACAGATTTCAAGTGTACAATTTTTGACCAAAAAGAAGTGCGGTTCTGTTATGCAACTTCGTTTCTTCTAGTGTAAGTACTGGAAATCAACTTCGTGGGAAAATATTTCTTCGAAAATAATCAGTGAATTTCTGAAAAATTAATCTGTAAAGACTAATTCGTAATACCGAGACTGTTATCATCTTTTGTCTCAAATACTGTACAGTAAAATGAGGAATTTGAAGAGTTGTGTGCTGCACGCAAAAAATAATTTTACCGCAAAATCTGAACAAAATCGAATGTCACAGTTAAAAGCTGCTGTGTTGAATTTGAAAACAGCGTATTCTTTTCAGCTCAAGACGGAACTTCAGGTTCTCGAAAAAAATAATATGGTGATTCTTTTATTGCGAAGATATTCGTTGGAAAGAGATTTCGTGTGAATGTTTCGAAACGAAACTGTCAAGCGCACCGAGTTCTTGGCTTTATTTTGAGACATTTTCAGCTCATTTAATTCTCTTTCTAAGGATTTGGCTGGGTTCAAATTCCTTGAACATTCTGCTCCTAGATTTGATGTGCCAGGTGTTTTCTGGCCGATGTAATCATCAGTAGAAAAAAATTTCTAAAACAATATTTTGGTTGATTATTCACAAAATGTTTTTGCAATGCAGGGAATATAAAATTAGCATTTGATCCTTATTTCTAGGGCTGATAAATTGTTGAGTGAAGGGACATTCGTTACTTATTCGACGTTCTTGTATCGTATTCATAATGCATGGACATTTTCATTCACTTTGCTGAACTTTTCTTTTCGTGAATTTGAATCGTGATTTCACCATATTTCTCGAATGGATGACACACTGTTTTCACGTATTGTGCGCTTTCACTTCAGAGAAAGTTGCCTTTAAATCAAGTTATTCGCGTATTCCATTGTATCTTAGTCACATTCATCTGAATTCCTACGTGATCAAAAAATAATTGGGCAGAATTCTTTGATTTTTCAAGAATATTCTTGAATTATAGCCTCAATTCGGAATATTTATTCCTGACAAGATCATATTCGTATTTTTGGACGAATTTATTGAGCATCTTGGTGCAAAACTGCGACGATGAGAAATTTTTTTTTTCATTGAAACGTGGTTATTAAATTCGGAAGATTTATTAGGGTATATCAAGTGAAATATTCGGTAGCTTTCAGATTACCAGTAAATTCGTAAAACGTGCAAATTTGGCTGTTGAACCATTTTTTGGCCCAGGCTCTGAACCTGCGTGTTCTGTTTTTTTTTCTCGATAAATTTCTGGACCGCCAAAAAACTGAGCGTCTGCAATACGTACTACAGTACTATACTGTACCTGTAAAGTTACGAGGTTCCGTCAATTGTAAAAAGTTTCCCCGCTGAGCAGAGCTCCCGTGAATTTCCTGATGTTTTTTTGTGTCGCGGAAATATCAATTCATTGTCGTGTTGAGAATTTTTGTTCAGCAGTAGAGAAGTTTCTGACGTGAAGCCCAAATTCATTAGCAGCGAGAGTTTTTATGGTAGAAGTGCATGAGGAACGAGTTCCTTGATACTGGTTTTTTTTATTTAAAGATGCAGTAGTAATATTGTTGAAAGCGTTTCGTCGTATGAGTACATTTATTTGATAACTTGAACCTCCCCGTTTCAATTTTTTTTAGTCCCTGTTTGACTTCCCTGGAGAAAAATGTTTTATCGGCCTCCCCATCTCACAGACTTCCCCCTAAAAACCTCCTTAACTCGAATTTTTCGAAGACCTGTATCCTAGTTTCTTGTTCTGGGGACCCAGGAAAGAGAAAAGTTTAAAAAAATGTTACCTGATAGCTTTTCAAAAGAAAGTGAGTGAATAATCGAGCAAATGAATTTTTGCCTTCAAGTTCAGTATCCATTTTTGTAAATCACTTGAAGGCCAAGAAGATCACCAAATTTAATTTCATGTAATTCTTCGTCTTTTTTTTCTGCATGGATGCAGGTGGACTCTCTCTCTCTCTCTCTCACTACAACGAAATTCAAGAAACCAGAAAAAAAACATTCATTTTAGAGAGATTTTCGTTGTAGAGAACCCCTATGACACGAGGAGATAATCCTATATGACCGAGAAAAAAGTCGTTATACAGTACAGAGAAATTAAAATAAAATTATTATAGAAAGAATCCACCGGTATTAGTTTCCCCAACTCGAGAACTCCGTGAAGTAAACTTTTTTGCGGGTACCTTGAATTTCGACTTCTAGAGGTTTTAACTGTCAGTTCATTAATTTTACTTTCGAATGTGCGGCGCTCAATCGATTCCGAAAATATTTGAATTCATCGTTTCGTTATGTTTTTGTTCTGATTGAGACGGGAGAGAAAAGACGGACGAGTGCAGCGACCATTTTTTAAATTTTACAAATATTTGAATTTATCTCTGACTTTCGATCGTGCGGCGTTCACTTGTCCCTGCATAGATTTGGGTACCCAACCAAAAGCCCCCCTGCCAAAAGCCCCCTGCCGAAAGCCCCCCATCACTTTTTTATAATTGGATGCAAGTTTCATAATAGTGTTTGGTGGCCTATTTGGTTTCATTAGTCCTCGAAAGGACTGTTTAATAATCATCTTCAAAATTGCCTTCTGCTGCCTCTTCCTCACTGTCACTGATGCTCTCCATTTCACTTTCTTCTAAATAGCCATTGTAGCATGCCTTTTGACCACCCTTCTGATTTTTGATGATCTGAAGTGCACCAGCCATTGGACCAACAAGGTGAACTGTAGATTTTGCAGAAGTCAGCAAGTGATGATGCTTTGACATTCAAAGAATCACTGATGACCACTGCAGGTGAAGAATCCCTTTATATACTCAAATTACAAACATATTGGTACTTGGCCTTGTGCTGGGCCTGCTGGTGAAAGGTGCAGCTTACCATCAAGAGTTACAAGAATACCTGTAATTCCCAATTTTTGCACCAAGGGGGGGGGCTTTTGGCAGGAGGGGCTTTTGGACTGCACCCATGGATTTGATGCCATCGTTTCTATTAGTTCGTGGTCCAAAGGAGACGCACAAAAACGAGCGTTTGAAGTGACGATTTGAAATTTTACAAGTATTTATTTATTTTTTGTTCTCGGAAGGTCGAAAGATCACTGGAAAGAAAAAAAAAATTGTGTTGAGATTGAAATCCCCATTTGTAGGAAGTTGCCGACTACCATTTTGCCCGGCGACACGACCGGCTTTTACCGGCGTCTGGGCTCTGGACACCATCAAAGCTCGTTGCCGGCCAGGGACAGTTGTCCGCTCACCGCCAAGGGCGGCGGACGACCCCGTGGGTTATCCTTGTCGCACACGGTGTCCGACGGCGGCTTGAGATACCAGTCGACTGCTGCGAATCACAAGCCGTGCGATAAAATGACCGAGCCGACCGCCGGGGCGTCCGTGGGCTGGCCCACGTCGCCCAAGGATTATGGCCTGAAGGAGGTCATCGGTGAGTCGTTGCCTTTCATTTATTTTATTATTCTTGTTTTCTTTTTCCCCGTCTGTAGAGGGTTGTACGAAACAAGAGCACTTCACCGCCTCCTCCACTCAAATGATGAAAGAAATTTAAAGTAAAAAACAAAAATCAAGATGGGAATTGTATCGGAGGACGACGTTTGCAATATTTCGCTCAATGAACGCGGAATGCGTCGTTGAATATACGAGGGTTGTAACAAAATTTCTCGGAGTAGCAATGAAAATGGCCTACAGTTGACCTGAAACAAATGTTTTCTTCAGGGAAAACATATTATTTGGCACATAAAAAAATATCAGCCCTGTTTGACAATTTTTTTTTGAATTTTTTTCATAATTCACCCTGGCAGAGTTTTGCTCTCCACTCAAAAGACGAGACGTCCTTTTTTTGTTGTAGCCCAGCTTTCCCCTCAGAATTTTTGAAATCAACTTGACATTCTTTCTAAGGGTTGCCTCCAGGTCATCCAAGGCAATTCCGCCATTTTCATGGACAGCCGCCTTCACAGCCTCCAAAGTGGCGGCCAATGTGGCGGCTGTGAAGGCATGAGAACATATGATGAGAGTGTGTCGAGTGATCAGAAGGTGGGAAGTGTAGTGCAGTATTGCTTTAGGCAAAATTAAAGATAAATCACTTGCAACTAGATGCGAGTGATTGATGATTAGGAAGAAGAGGAATTCAAATCGTGAGCAACTTTTCTCGCCATTAAGTTTCATGGAGATGTTCGGGACTTATTTTTAAAAGTCGGCGAATATTCAATTGGTGACTGGAAATAGCCCCAGGGCTTCATCAAAAGTCTTTTTTTTTAATATGTGGTAGATATTCTAACAATGCTATTCGCAGCTATTGCATCGTGTGAATTTTTTAAGCCGAAAGAATATGACTTTAATTTGAATAACTTTCAGATTTATTAATTTTAAATTCTTGATAAATTTACATTAGCAGCAGAATGTTTAGTTTTTTCTATTTGCCCATTTCATTTTACCCGGCTCACCCTGTAGTTGCGGAACTGTAAAATTATACAAGAGAATTCGGAAGCCCCTTCTTGCCCCTTCGCATCCGAACTGAGATTTGTAACCGCCCGATTTTTCATTTTATTTTATTTTATTTCAAAATTCATTACCATAAAATTCCTGTGCGATCGGTCGATTTTTCATCCTTCCCCGGCTGTTCTAGGGCTTCTGGTTGGAATTTTCTCGCTGCGAAAAAATAAAGTAATAAATTTGGCCGGCGATGAAAACGTCGGCCTTATTCAGAATTCCGGGGCGCCTGCGGACTTTCTATACAATTTCCTTCCCATTTCTGCGGCAAAGGTTCTCGGCGTATATGCTGTGAAAATCACTGGACGGCTCCTCTGCAGGGAAATGAAAAAATGGAAGATGGGTGGAATAAAATTTTCATGTGAAAAAAAAATGGTGCCGACAAAGAATAGGCAAGGATTTGCCTGGTAGTAAATCAAGGAAAATAGTAAATTAAAAATTTTAAATGCTAAATAGAAAAAAAAACAATTTTCCAGACGCAGAATTGGCTGAAGGGGCTCAGATGTAGAAATTGATTTTTCTTCTTCTCTGTTTATCGTGTGGATGATCATTGGGGTGGATTTGGTTTCGGTTTTACTTCCCTTTCATGATGAGTACCTCAAAGATTTCGGCCACTCATGGAAAGTCGAGCTCAGTCATGCATTCCATTTGATATCGTCGATTTCAAACCATTTTTTGTTGTTTGAAGAATTCGTTGATGATCTTTTCCATGATCTTTTCCATGGTTTCTTGTCACATTTAACCACGTTTTCCTCGTGAGCCTGTTGTAAAAAACTGATCTTGAGCATCTTTTTTTCTCTTTGATTTCATAAGATTCACCGCGCTGAATTTTTCTAGGGAAGCAGTTTTGTCTGAAAATAGCTCTCGTTTGAAAATCACGTTGAGCAAAAAAGCGCCACACGTTTAAGAAAATTAAAATCGGAACTTGATTTTTAAAATGGGTCGTTTTTAGGAATTGGCTTAAATGGCTAAAAACTAACTAACCTAACCTAAAAAAATCTAAATTACTCTAGAAACCTAATTAATCAAATTGAATTTTTGAATTGACAAAATTGAAAAGAGTGCCAAAATTCTTGCACAAGTAAGCGCAGACACTGATGTGTCTACTAGTATGCAGTGCTGCAAAATTTTATGCTGCTTTCTCCCACCAATTTTTTTTTTAGTTTACAATTGATTGTACAAAAGGTGAAGTATCACATTCCAAAAATGCCTTGTAATCAACACTGATTGGACAAAACGATGCAGACAATCTTCTCTGCTGTCAGTTCATCAACTGATAACCGCAAATAAAGAAAAATATATATTCCCATTCATCTATACAGGCTGGCAAATGGAGCTTCATTTTGTCGATGAAAATCCTCCGGGAGCAATAAAAACGGTTAATTGATTATCAAAGTTAACTTTCCCCAAAAATTCTGAGGAAAAAATGTGACGTGTATTGATCAAAGATTTTTTTGTTTCTCAACCATACAATTCTGTTATAATATTTTCGATAAATGAGCAGATGTAAGAATGCAACCATGATCCATAAATACAGTATATGAATGATTCATCAGATCATTAAATCCTCAATGTCATTAGGCATATACCTGCTTCATTTCTGCAACTTTTATCAAACCTTACCTTTATGGAATTTTTCATATCTCCCAAAATATTTAATAGTCGATCGTGAATCATCCTGTAATGTACAATACATGTCAACCCCCGCAGAACGGACTTAATTTGTGCAACAGGCTAGTATGTTGTGTGAAAAGTCTGTTATGCAAATTCAATGATTAAAAAATTTAAAATTTTACGTTTCACCATTAATTTTAAACCGGCAGAAGTCTGTTCTGCAGATTTACTCCATTGCGCGGGAGGGAAAACTGCCTCCAGAGACAGTCTGTTGTGCAAAAATCCATTGTGCAGTAGGTCTGTTGTGCGGGGATTGAGTCGTACTGTATTTGAGGTTGCTATGCCGTGTGACGTCGTTCTTCAATTTTTTTCCTTGCGAAGTACAGTACCTATTTTCAAGTTCTCTCGAAGGATTTCTGGAGCGAGGGAAAGGAAGGACAATATTGACGAATCGATCATCTTTCTTCGAACAGGTGTTGGAGCCACGGCCGCCGTTCACGCAGCCATGTGCATTCCGAGAAGCGAGATGTGTGCAATCAAGCGCATCAACCTGGAGAAGTGGAACACGAGCATGGATGAGCTGCTGAAGGAGATCCAAGCCATGTCATCCTGTCACCACGAGAACGTGGTAACCTATTTCACCAGCTTCGTCGTCAACGAGGAGCTCTGGCTGGTGTTGCGACTCATGGGCGGGGGCTCGCTCCTGGACATCATCAAGCACCGCGTTAAATCCATCGACTGTCGACACGGCGTGTTTGACGAAGCCACGATCGCGACGGTGTTGCGAGAAGTACTCAAGGGCCTGGAGTACTTTCACAACAACGGGCAAATCCACAGGGACATCAAGGCCGGCAACGTGCTGATTGGCAACGACGGGGCCGTGCAAATTGCGGATTTCGGAGTGAGTGCCTGGCTGGCGACCGGCGGGGATTTGTCGCGGACCAAGAGCAGGCACACGTTTGTGGGCACGCCGTGTTGGATGGCGCCCGAGGTCATGGAACAGGTCACCGGCTACGACTTTAAGGCGGACATTTGGTCCCTGGGCATCACTGCCATAGAACTGGCCACAGGCACGGCCCCGTACCACAAGTACCCACCCATGAAGGTCTTGATGTTGACGCTGCAGAACGAACCGCCAATCTTGGAGTCTGGCGCTGACGATAAGGTGTGTATGATGCGGTTTTTTTTTTCATTTTTCTTTTATTTATTTTTTTTGGTGTGTTGTTTTTTGTTTTGTTTTTGGGAGGGTCGGCTGTGTGTAGATTCCCTGAATTCCTGCGCGTGTGTCTTTTCAATGCATCTCATCTTTGTGCGATTCACTAGTGAAGTTGGTGTGAGCGAGGAGATGTGTCATGTTTTTGGATCATTCTTTGGGCTTTTGTGTTGCCTACATGATATCCATTCATGGAGTATTATGGAATTTCGAGAATTTCAGTCCTGAAAGTTAAAAAATAAAATAAACTCAAAACTTAGGGAATCTTGTGTCGGGTTTTTTCTTTCGTCAGAGAAATGTTCAGCTTTCATCCTATTCAAAAACTTCAAATCAGAAAAAAAGCATAACAGTGGCGGTGCGTGAATGATCGATTGTCATAATCCTCACGTACATTCTAGCTTTTGTTGATTTGGTTTGAGGTTAGAGTTAGTTAGGGATTAGGTGAAAGTAAGGAAGGGTTTAGATTAAGGTAAGTTACAGCTGTTCTGTGTCAATGTAGATTGACTTGGGCTATGGTAAGATGGATTTTATGCTTTATTGATTGAGGCGAAGGCTCTCCATAACCTGTGAAAAATCATTTTCCACGTATAAATTCTGTTAACGAATTTTTTTTTTTATTCGTCGTAGAACTTATGCCTTCGAATATTGCTCTTCGTCGCCTTTGTTCTTTTGAAATATTCTCATTTGAATTTCATTTGTTAATGCATGAAGTACCTTCGGAATGTATGATTTTTATTGGCTTCCGTCAGAAATCTTCTTACCGGAAGACTCCGCGTCCATAAATTTTTGGCATGGAACTTTAGACGAGGGACTGTTCTATATTTTTTCCGGTAGCTTATAATATTTTTTCTCAGGTAAAGTGTCACGGTTTTGAGAGCTAAACTGCGTTAGTTTTTTTCTTTCGCTTTAGTATACTCAGTTTTCAAATGGTCTTGTTTCATCGTTGGTTTCACCCGAGTATTTTTATTTCTTTAAAAGAAAAGTGTTGTTTTTACTCATTGCGGACTGAAGTTTTTTTTTAATGAAAAGCTGCTCCAGATGCGATTTCATGTCTGGAGTGGTTTGCACGGGATTGTGAGAATGTTTCAAGCCTTGTGGGCAGTCGAGTCTGAGTGAGTCTTTCAACTTGAACTACGTCATTCATGAGACGAATCGAAAATATTTCAATTGGGAGGGTTGATCGGGTTCCTTGTACCCTTTAGTTAGAAAATGGTGTAGAACTGTAGAGTCTAGAAAAAAAGTTTGTTTTTGGTGAAGAATGCCTATAATTTTAAAAAATATTCTCTAGCGGACTCACAAAGCATCAACATTGAGAAACTGGGGAAATGTTAACCTTTCATGCTTCATTTGGTTACAGGAACCCTTCTGAGAAGAATAATTTCAGTATTCTTTAATTTTATTATATCTGCGTGTGGTTGATGAATTTGACAGTGAATGGTGATTTTCTGCAGTGAATTCACTTCAAGGTAAAGTGTTGAAAATATTTTATACTCATTCAAGTCAAGTCAATTTTTTTCCCAGCGTTTTTGCGCCCAGACAGAATAAATACTGCTGCTCACGCGTAATTTCTCCCTCGTGATTCAATGGATAATCAAGTAGAAAAACACACCCACGGTTCGCACGGTCCGAAAATTTGTCTGCCGACGGCAGAATCGTACTTTGTTTTTTTCAAACCTTGTGATAGCACGTGAAGCTAATATCAGCCTATCGATCGGAGTATTCGAGGAATTTTTAAAATGTACGAGCTTTTTTGGAAAGGCCCGTTGAAGGGTGTAATTAACCCCCTAGTATCCCGGAAGACTTGAGATGACGGGAGGTCATTCTGCTTCCATTTGAGTTTAGTGCAACCCGGTGAATCTTTCAGTAATTTTTTTTTGGGCTGTGGTTATTATTGGTGTTGATGATGCACCGTGTTTTACTCGAGTGTATGACACCATCAGTTGGGGAGACTTCTGTGATATTTTTGTGCTCGAAGAACAAGAAGAATTTTGTCTGGATTATTTAGAAAGTACAGGAAATGCAGTTTCATCAAACTTGGTGAAGTGTACATTTGTTACGAAATATCGGAACATTTTATCAGTTTCTCGAGATGTTGGGGCAGTCTGAAACTCTAAACTACGGACTTTTTTTTTTTTTGATGGAATGTTATTCTTATTTTGCACTTGAGCTAATTTACTGTATGTTTTTATTTTCGAGTATACGCGTGATATGCGCGATGTGGGTAAATTCATTTGGCTGATGGTTGAATGAGGGACAATATGTAGAATTTCGAGGCATTGATGAATTCGTCTTTAATTTTTACTCATTCATTGATGCTTTGTTCAATTTCCGCCATTACGTGACTTTTTCTGCCGGTGATTTCTTATTACCTGAGCTACCTTTTCTGGTAGTAAATTTCCTTGAGACGAAGAGAAATAATTTTGGGCGATTGTTTGCGTAAATAGGTTAGGTTAGTATTTTTTACTGAAGTGAAATCTCGTGAAAACAAATCTTGTCTTGACGAATTATTGTTTAGAACGAATCAATTTTTGAGGTTTCTCTAGTAGAGTCACAATGTTATTTTAGGTGAATTATAAATATCATTTTCTTTCAAGAAAAGATTTTTTCTGGTCGCAACAGCTTCTTTGTAAAGAGATTTTACTTTTCATTAGAGGGGATTAATATTATGGGAGGAAGCAATGACAAATGTATTCTTCTCCCATATATTTTTATATGTTTATGAGTTCTCTAAATTAAATAAATTAAATAAACCAAAAAAATTAACGGCATTTTTCGTTGTGGGTGCTGGTTCTTTTGAGAGTAAGTGACGTAGTTTTACGCCATTTTAAACGTGAATTGGTTAGGATAATTTTTATGCCATTTTCGTTAAAGAACATGAAGATGATGGCAGAAATTAACTGCAAAATTAATTTTCTTCCATACATTTAACCTGCCTGTGTTCTCGTAAACTTCGTGTAAATTGACGACATTTTTCAGAATCGAAGTCCGGTTATTTTGGCGAGGTATTGTTAGTTAATATTATATTATATCGAGTATTTTCCAGATTAGTGTTATGATTCCGGCGAAATCTGTCCGATATTTGCTTTGAGAAAAGACAATCTTGAAAATTTTTAGCGATTATCTTCGCGCATTCCGCTGGTTGTTTTTTTTTTGCACCTCCTTCATTTTCTTTGTGCGCATTTCCCTGTGCTTTCACCCTTTCCAGACGCAGACACGCGGAAGCAGTTGTGACTGAAAAGAGGAGCGAGCAGGTGGTTATTGTGGGAAGATTGAATGCGGAAAACGTGGGCTTTACTCGTTTGAGAAGTACTGTACTGTACTCAATTCTTTAATTTGTATTTTTCATTTATTTTTCGACAGGACCAGTACAAGCAGTACGGTTCATCCTTCCGCAAGTTCATCGCGGCTTGTTTGCAGAAGGAACCCGGGAAACGGCCCACGGCCACGGAGCTGCTCAAGCACCCGTTTATTTTGCGGAAAGCCAAAGACAAGCGTTACCTGCAGCAAACGCTGCTTGGCTCGGCGCCGAGCCTCGAGGAGCGAGTCACAAAAGTCAAGACCGAGAAGCGGTTCCCGGGCGCCTCGGGGCGACTCCACTGGAAAGACGACAACACCTGGGAATGGTCTTCGGGCGACGAGGGCGACGGCGAGGACGGTGACCAGTTGCATCGACACGACGACGGACCCGAGAGTCATTCCGGAGAGCAGCGATCGAATTCGGCGTCTCAACAGCAGCTGCAGGCGCCTCTCGGCGGCGTGAACGAGCACGAAGGCACCAACGGGGATTGCGGAGACGGCGGCCTTTCGTCGAAAGGCGGCGACGGGAATAGCAAGATGTTTCCGGCGTCCACGACGTCGTCTTCGTCGGCGTCGTCGCATTCGTCGGCGGATATTCCGTTGCCGCAGGGATTGGGTTCGGGGAATTCGATGCCCGTGTTTGTTGACCAGTTGGCGACGACGGAGATCCCCGCGGGTGTTGATCCCGCAGTTCAGATTCCTTCTTTGGTTCAGGTTAAGGTAGTGTATGCGGAAGTGGCAGATTCGCGTTTGATCTATGCAAAAAATTGAAATTGCTGATTCACTTTGAAAGAAATATTCGCTAATCAGCGCGTATTAGTGATGAGTACCTCGTATAACCTTTCGTCATGCCAAGTGCATGATCTCGCAGAAAACTTTAATTGTTTTGGGAAATTTAGGCCAGATAAATCTAATTATTTCTAGATAAATATTTTTCTTTTTCCATGTTTTGCCAAGCGTTTCAGTACCCTTGGATGAATTGCTTGATAATGCGTTCATGTGTTTGAATTTATCTTTCGAACTTGTTAATTTCGTCATTGGCCTAGATATTTTTTTATTACTTTGCGTTTGCTTTCCTCGTGTTGCAACATCCGTTCAACTCTGGGTGCAATTTAAAAATTCTTCTTGCAAGAAATGAATTGACAGATTGTCCTTTCACCAGAGCAGTTTTCAAAATGCGTTCGCGCACTGATAAGGGAGCATTTTCACCATGACCCTGGACAAGCGGGGCTAAACACGAATAGCTTTGGGTCAGATTTCATTGCGACATGGGAGCCGAATAAATGATTCAAGCGAGCAGCGAGCTATCAAAAAAAAAGAAACAAATACTTTTTACCATTCGTCGTTGAGGCCATGTTTTTCTAGGCTGGCCTTCGTTGCGTTCTCGAAAGTCTCTTTCGGAATAACCTGTGCTTGATTGGGGAAAACTCCCGCGAATCGGATATGGACATTTTTTTAAAATTTGCTTTGAATGTACAATATCTGTGATCAAATATTGTCTAGTTAAATCTTTCAACCCTTTATCGTCTCTCCATTTCATTGGATGTGCGAACAGAGGTTCAAGTTTGGTTAATCATTGCATGTTTCCAAAAAAATATATTCGTAAAAATATGGTCCACCTCTGTCCGTTATTTTGCCCATCCAATGATGTGAAGTGAAAGACTGTCGCAACTTTTTAAATTTTACCTTTCACCCTGAATTTCCCAACTTCGGAGCTGAGTTCAAAAATGATTAACTGTTACTCAAAATATATTCTTTTAAAAAATAAGGTCCGCTTTTGTGCATCTCCAATGATGTGAAATGAAAGACTTGTTTAATTTTTTCTTTGAATGCTAAGTTTTTGGATTGCAAAACTCGAAGGCACATTTTAGTGAATGAATAAAGTCTAGAAGTCAAGGGATGAAAAATGTGTTGATACTCATGTACTGTACAATAAAAGTATTTTCTTTTTTTAGGTAGAATAGGTTATAGATATTAGAAAATGAGATTTCTTTTATGCATATCCAATGATGTGAAGTGAGAGACTGGCGAAGCCTTTGACCCTTGTTGAAATCGGTTGTGATTTTTTTCTTCGCAATGTCATCACTTGCAGGAATCGTCGCCACAGAGAAACGGAACTCAAATGCCGACGACGAACGTTTATGGCGAACCCCATGGACAGGTTCCTCTACCCATGTTCGTCCCGCACCCGCACGCGGGGGTTCCTCCCTACATCGCACCACCAACACCTGTCCCGATCGTGTTGAATGACGGCCTTCCCATTAGCCTCGTCTTGCGAATGCGGTACATCATTTATTTATTTTCAACTCGACAATCTTTTGTTCTGGAAAGTCTTGTGTGAAAATTTCCCACGGTTGGTTCAAGCATGACGAAACCTAATCTGGTACTGGATACGTTTCGATGTGGTAAAAGCGATATCCCTTGAGGTTACATTAATCAGTCGAACATCTTCAAGTCAAACTCCAAGGCACCAGCTAAACAATCGAATTAGGGATGTTCCCCATAAGGGAAACGAATATTTTAATGTTGGGGGGAAAGAATGGAAGAATTACAAGAATTTGTGATATTCTAGGTCTGCTTCATGAATGATTTGTCTGGTTGAAGTTGGAAGCAATTTGCTCGATTAGTCTTTCGCTTCCTTTCCAAACACATCGTTACATTTTTGTTGCTTTTCTCTTTCCTGTGTCAATGAAATAATAGCCGACAGGCCTCTAGAAAATTCGAGTTAGGGAGGTTTTCAATGCATTGTTTCTGAGGAAATTCAGACGGAGACTTGACAAAAAAATCCGAAACATGGAGGTATTCGACTTGAAGAGATTCGAGTGATTGAGGTTCAATTGCGTATGCTTTCATTTTTCCCGAAACTCACCAAAAGACCGCATGAAACCTCGAAAAATTTGTTTGTTCCTAGTTTTCAGTGTAAAATTGAATATTTAAAATTGATTTTTTTTAAATTGAAGTAATCCTGACAAGTTTGTGTGCATGATTTCCTGATTTTCACAAATTTTAAAGACTAGGAGAGGCCAAACTACTGTATACCCTTATTTTCTTTTCCTGGATTTTTCCATTAAAATAGCTTAATAGTTTTTAGCCCCAAAAATGCCAAAATTTGTGGGTTTCGGCAAACAATTCTGTAATGCGATATTTTTGTTGGTTGGTTCTTAAGTCAAGCGAGGACCAACATTGTTCCATTTTTCTCTTGAAAGTTGAACCTCAAATCATTCGAGCTAATGATCGAGTGTCTACGAAAGAATCTGAATTGTGAAGAAAAATGTAAATCCCAGAACGGAAGTTAAAAGTTGTTCGCAACTGAAGCATCCTTTTTTATCGCTTGAAATTCGACAGAAATTCGCAAGGAGAGCTGAACGATATCCGATTCGAGTTCCAGCTGGGCAAAGACACGGCTCAGGGTATTGCGAATGAGCTTGTTGGTGCTGGTCTGGTCGACGGTCGAGACATGGTTGCCGTTGCTGCAAATCTGGATAAAATATTGTGCGAGCACTCTGCGGCTAGATGCGGTCTTGTCCAGATGTCGCCCCAGTCGCCGATGCATCCCGGTGCCTCACTCAAGAACACGCAGCAGCCGAGGACGCTTACGTTTGCCCTGGTGAGGCCTGGATTTCGTGTTTTTGACGGGGCTTGTTGCTGAAATACTTTTTAAAATATAGGATACTTGAAACTTGAATGCCAATTTTTGTTGGAAAAGTTTTCTGGTGAACCCCTCACCCTTGAAATACAGTCGAACCTCTATTCAGTGCCATAATTTGTCCTCGCACATTTTGTGGCACTAAATCAAGGTACTGCATCAGTGGTTGGCTTAAGTGGGGGTTTCTACTGAAGTATATGCGGAAGAAGCTCGTTCACAGAATTACCAGGTTTGGACGGTTTTGAAATACAGTACCTGTATTCTCTATGCGGTGGGTCCCCGCATAACAAAACTCGTCTGTTCCTGGATGCGTTTCGTTATGCGGATTTTTGGAAAAAGGAATTTTTACATGGGACTGTAATTGGGTGAATAAGTTCCAGAAACTCGCCAGAAGTCCGTCGTAAAACGCATGATACATGTGGACTCTTTATAAAGAAATTGAAGTGACCAGCAAAAAACCTTCGTGTGTAATTTGTATAATATCGCGAGAGATATTAGTGACTATGAGACCATAAAAAAGTTACTGTGCCGAGAAAATCGTTTTAGAGAAGCCACCTGTACAGTATGTGTTTTTTCTTTTGTCTTTTCAGCCTAAAATTTATAATTAGGTATTGATTGAAGTATCCTGACAACTGTAGCTTGTAACTTCTTGAATTCCCCGAATTTTAAAAGATACACTTCTCTTTTCATGTACCTCAATTTTTAAAAAAATTCTAACGTACGAATTAAAATTTGAGCGTATTGTTGGTCAAAAATGTTCGTTCTGTGAGTTAATTTCGTTACTTGATTCAATTCTTTTCCCACAAGAGTTTTTGTTGTGCGGTTCTCTTCGAGATGCGAGGACTCATTGTATTCTTCAAGTGTTATTTGCTTAGCTCGCAAGCTAACTTATGTGAAGTGCACTACTGTTCTTGCTTTAGCTGCTTCAGAAAATAGCCATCTCAATAAAAACGATATTTGCTCGAACGCCGGATTTCTTCAATAATTTTACCGAGTATTTTCCCAAAACCATTGAAATGCCGCGTTTTTTCTTTTGTGTTCCGTTGACTAATTTTGGGCAATTTTTAACAGAAGTTTTTTTTTTTATAGACGAGGAGGTTTTTCATTATCTTGTTCCTTTTTTTGTTTCAATTTTGATTTGATGAAATTTTGTTTTGTTTCGCAGGCCGGCTTAACGCCGAATAACATGGTGGACGAGAAGGCGCTCGTGGGCTTCGCACAGTTGACCATCACGGACTGAGGCGCAGCATTCCGGGTCCCCACTCCTTGAGGTTGATGTTCCATAGCTTGGACTAGTTCGCGCGTTGTGATACCGGGGGTAAGATCGTGTTTGCGGTCATCGGAGAGGCACTTGATATTATGCTTGGCACAGTAGAGGAAAGAAGAAGAAGAAGAAAAATTTTTATTGTCGCGCATCAATGCTTATTTAACGAAGAAGATTGCGAACCGAGAGAGAGAGAGAGAGAGATGTGAAAGTTCCGGCGAAATGAGTCGCCGCGAGTGATCCCAAGTGGCGGCTATTTGGCTCTTTCGGGGACGACCGAGTGATGATTCCGTGTCCCTTTGTTTCATTTTATTTTATTTTTTCCGTTTTGGTTTCGTCTTTCTTGTTTCATGTGTTCGTTTGAATGCCGGAAGCCGTGCAGTTTTGCCAGGATGTCTTGAAACATTTGTTTAATCGTTCTTGGAAGAGGTTCATAAGTTTTGAAACAAAACAAAGAAAAAATTCTGGAAGGAGTGGTGATACGCCAACATTTCTTCATTGTCGTACCAAAGCTTGAGCATTCGGAACAAAAGATTGAGTATGGGGTTTTTTTTTTTTTTTTTTTTTTTTTTTTTTCGAACATGAGAAGTCTGCATCATTAAGTTTGGCAGTCTTCACGGAGTGGATCCACTGTTGAAATCACCCACTGGAATCTTTCTTTTCCGAGGCGTATTTGGGACTTCAATAGTTCCATATCAATAATTTGCTTTGCAGATGGAATGATTGTAGTAACGCTGATGAGTTAAACACGGAAGGAATAATGCTTGGGAGAAATAGTTGTTCTAGTACCGAAAGCTGACGTAGTTCAGTATTTCGTCATTTCTCAACGTGATCCCTGTCGAGCTTAATAGATTTTGTTTTCTTGTGTTCGGAGTTCCACTGAAATTATTCGTTTGGAAAATCTCCAAGTGTCGGAGATTTAAGTTCAGTTTTATTTTCTTGTAAGCATAGGGAATAAAATAATTCAAGGATTGAAAATGATTCAATTTTTCTGGTAGCATGGCTTTTGTATTGAGCGTTTCTTGACGTAATCCCGCTTAAATTTGACTGTTTTGTTCTTCAAGTAGGTTCACAATTTGAAGCATATTATAAAAGTTCTTTTAATTTTTTAGATTGGATTCGAAATGAATTTTATGAAAATCTGCAAAGAAATAACTTGGAATAACGTACAGTACTTCGCAGCAAGAAAGCCTTGATACTGTATCCAGCTTTTCTCAAGATATTTCCGGAAAAATTAGACAATTTTAGCAGATGGATCCACTGTTTAAAGCACCTCGTGATATCTTCTTGAATTTTGCGTTTTATGTTATCTGTGCACATTCGGAAGAGATGATTTTATTTCAAGAAAGTTTCCATGTTTCCCAAGCATTATTCCAGATTTTTGAAATGATGGATCTATCTCCGGAAAATCGGTTTAGAAAGTTCATGGACGTTATTTAAGGTTTATTGAAATGATCCCAGCCAAGTTGGACAGGTTTCATCAGGTACTGTATTGAATCCGCTTTTCGAAACACTGCGTGGGATTTACCGTCGTAATGCCAAGTTTTCCAAAGCGAATTTGAAACAGTTGGAACGTGATATAATCGATGATCCATTTTTCCCGTTAATGATCTTGAACTCTGAGTTCCCGAGTGACCACCTCCAGAAGTTTTTTTTTTTTTTACATCGACGCGTCTTTCTGATTTTCAGTGATTTTAAAAATTTTTGTGTGAATTATTGCAGTCATCAGACTCGAAACTTATTTGAAAACATGAGTCAAGTTAAATTGAGGTGCGTTGAATACAATGCAGCTGCGGTACGGGTTTCTTGTAAGAAATGCTACCTATCATCACTCCTGTCTAGAATTATTGTTGAATTTCTCAAACCTCGCCGCGTCATTTCTCTTATGAAATTTTTTATTCAATCGAAAGTCGGATCTGTTTTCTGCCGCATTTTCGCCCGTCTCTCGAAAACAGTCAATCCGTGTGTTTCCATCGATGCGAAACACATTTCCGTTTAAGGCACTGAATGTTCAGGAATACATGAAGGTTGTGATTTTCGTTTTGCGAATTCTTAGCATCTGTTCATACTCTGGAGGATTCACGTGCATTTTTTGGAAAAAAAAGTTGCCTTGATCTGCATTGATCGTTAGCTCAAACTACTGAAACTTGGGACATTTCTGTTGGGCCAGGATAAATGGCGAACAACTCTTGCGAGCAATATGATGTTCATTCTAGCGTTGTCATCTTAGTATGAAAAATTTTGTAAGCTTTTTAAAAAGATAGGTTCCGAGTTATGTTTTGCTTGGACTGGATTAGTGAACCGTTCTTCCGTTTAGTTTTAATGTTCCTGTATGAAATTCCTGTTTCTTTTCATTACTCTGCGCTGAGGTGAGGAATTTTGAAACTTTTTGTTTTTCTGGATTTTGGTCCTCTCAGTTGAAAATGCCAGCTGCGATTAAGGCAACCCTGGATCCGATTTTGTCGTTTTATGTGCATTTAAAATTGGATCAGATTTCAGCGCTCGCTAATCGCCAAATTATTCGAAGTTCATTCAAGAAATACGTTTGTATTCTTTGAAGCCTTTGTTCGCATCAAATCTGCGAAGCAGTGAATTTTATTGAAGGACACGGCAATTTTAAAAATCATGATGCTCAAGATGATTACCTTTTTCTGTCTGGATTAATAATTTGTGTGAAAAATCTGATTTCCTTCTATCAAAATTTAATTGATGAGAAAACATCGTGGTCAAGCCGAATAAAGGCTTCAGTAATTTGTTTTCCATTAAAATTGTTGCCACAGTGCATCAAAATGATTTTTGTTTCTTTCATAAATTTTTTATGGACATTTTTCGCTAAAACGATTCAAACTCTTCTGTTGATGATTTTCAAACAAAAAATGTTCTCGCCCAATCTCAATTAATTCTGTCGTGCAATTTTTGAAAAGGAAGGCTGCATTTGTGTTGATGCCCCCTTTGGGATTGGAAATCAGGGTTGCCAATGTACAGCGGCAATTAAATGATTTGGAGGTAAATTCAACTGGAAAGAAACCAGAATTCCTCAATAGGTCAAAACATTAAATTTTTTTTAATTAAACCGAGAAACATGACGGGAGATAATTTTCCGAACAGCGCGAGGGTTTTTTTTTTAAGAGTTTGTTGATGAAATTGTCAACTCCGGACGATTTTTAATTGTCCCTTATTCTGAAGGCTTGCGGAAGTACGAATCATGTGCAGAAAATTTATTTCTTTTTTCGCTGAAGCTCAACCGCGCGTTAATTTTGCTTCCCGGACAAATAATTTTGTTGAGCCAATTTTTTGTCCTATGTAAATCTGCATATGAATGGAAACGATTCACTTCTTCGCCACGTTTTTCGCTTTCCAGCAAAATAGAAAAAACTGTAGTTGTTCAATACCCAGAGTGAGGGAGATATTTGTGAGACAAGATCGGGAATGTGAAACCTTCGAAGGAAAATGTAGATTTTTCTTCGAGTCTCAAAATTTTGTTTCGTCGCAGGTGATCCGAAAAACTTTATTCCTCGGAGAAATGAACTCAAAAAAAAAACTGTGGAAACCTGAACAATATGAGAATGCGTGCAATCGTTGCCCTGCTTACGTTGCCTTTGGCTACGCTTCCAAAATCGCGGACGGACCGGAAGCAGGATATAGAAAGGATAAGTGAGGAGAAAAAAGGGATTGGCTTCCGTTTTCTTTTTTTTTCTGTTTTGTCGTGTTTGTGCTGTGACGGTCGTTGGTTTATTTCGTGTCTCTCCCTGTGTGATGATGATGATGTGGGAAAACAAATGCAGCGGATGGGCGTACTTGGAGTGCGCTTGTGCCTTTGCGGATTGTGTCGATTTACTCCATTGTGGTTATTTTCTTCTGGTATGTTGTCTGCGAATGAATTATAAGAGTGTTTTTTTTTCTTTCCAGGAGTCTTCCGCTGCTGCTTTCCAGAAGGACGTGACGTCATATGCTCCTGTTGGTATTTCCATATATGAGAAGGTTGGTTGGTGTTTTACTATGGATGGGAATTGGTTTGAAGATGAGGAGAACTTTATCCCGAAGAATCTCTTGCTGTTTTCCAGAAGTTGGCCATCTAATACAGGTGGACTCCTATCAACAAAAATGTTGTCTGCAATGACTTTTTCTGCATGGTACTGTGTAATTTTTTTCAACGGGTAAGTTCTCTTGTCATATTCTATGCAGGGGTCCTCTGCAATGAAATTCTTTCCAAGTACAATTTTTTTCTGGTCCCTTGGATTTTGTTGTAGAGAGAGTCCACCTGTACTGTATTCATGGAAGTGCAGTCAACCCCTGAACAGCAAACCTTAGTGCACAACAGACTTTGGAGGTGGTTTTCCCACCTGTGCAATGGACCAAATCAACAGAACAGTCTTCTGTTGGTTTGAAATTAATGATACTGTATTTACTTGAGTACCATGCACACCTTTTTTCTCAAATTTCACAAGAAAAAAAGGGGTGCGCGTCATAAGCAGGTACAAATATTTCAAGAAGTTTTAGAAAGTTATGTGAGCATTATACTTAATCATAAGGGAGAAATTTGGAAAAAATGTAATGAGCAAACTTTTTTGTACTGAAAAAGTTGAAAATTGATCAGATTTTTGTTCAATTCATTTCTAAAGTCAATTTTTGTTTTTATTTTCAAAATTTTGTGGTGTTAGATTCACTAAAAATTGGGGTGTGCATCTTACTGGAGGATAAGATTTTAGCCAAATTTCCAACTGAAAAACCCCCATGCGCGCCTTACTTGAGGGTGCATGGTACTCAAGTAAATACAGTAATACAGTATAAGTAAAAATTTCTATTTTTAATAATTGAATTTGTGTAACAGACTTTTTACACAACAGACAATAGTCTGTTGTATGCATCAAGTCCATTTTGTGGGGGTTGACTGTACTGCATGCTGTGCACTTTTCTTTGGAAAATTATGTGGGTTGTCATAGTTGAGTACAAGAACATCAGTCATTCTTCTAAATTTTTAAATTCTAAATTATTATTGCTGTGTTATATTGACAGTTTTAGTTGGTTAAGAATATAATACTTTTTCCAAGTACAGTAATATCGGAAATTCTTTGATTACTTTTTCTGAAACAAGAGTTATTATATATCCACATTGTTTGCATTAGTACGTGTGATTGAAAAGAATGTCTCCATGGAAGACACAGTTCAAGCACTGAAAGCAAACAAAACTTTTACAGAAAATATACTAAGAAGTATACAACCTCAGTCTTCCGGCGCCGAACCGCACCCAAAGCCATTCAAGTATGCATAAATCGTGTGTTTTGCATCTGGATTGAAGATTCGCCGCAGTTTGCTTCGCCAACATTCCCTTTTGACATGCAGTACAGTAGTATTGGCTTTTCTTGTTTTCAAGGTCCCACTTTATATGTCGGCTCACGTTTTTCTGGTCCCAGTTGAAGGAACCCTATCTTCTTCAAATTTTGTCAATTTACACGAACGACGGAGAAAAGATAAGATTCGTACCGAATGTGTATAGAATCGGCGAATTTTTAGATTTGAATCGCTTCACAGCATGAAGATTCTTTATTGTGAATAATTTATATTTAAAGTCTGCCATTTATGAACCTCCTGTTTGGAGAAACTTTTGGTTCTTGGAATTTCATTGAAATATTCAGTGATTATTTCAAAAATTCGCGGTTTTTCTTAAGTCCTGATGCGTGTCACCGAAGAAGTCGTTCTTGTTTCAGAATTGACTGAAGGTTCCAGTTTTTTTTTATCATTCTCCTAATTCACTGGGTTTTCTCCCCAAGATTTAGTAGAATTTTTGAGGATAAATCGAGGAATGGAGAATGATTTACTAATGGATTTTTGTAGGCATATAATAAATAAAACGCTTTCTAATTTTTGCTGTAAGACTTGGCCGAATGATATTAGGATATTCATGCAATTCTGATAAAAATGACCGTTTGTTTATTTTGCAAGAATTTTTAGAAAGCGCTTTTCTTGTGCACGAAAACAATCAAAATTCCATTCTCTGATGAAAGTACTGGAAATGTGATTGTGTTCCAGAAGCAGTAGTAGTAATTTTTTTCATTTCAGACGAGTCGGAATAGTGACCTTGAGGTTTGCAAGGTTATTTGTTTGCTCTCTCTGGGGATCCTGACGAGGCATTTTCTGTTGTTCGCTTTTTTTCTTTTAACCGAGGTTTCCCGGGATGATAATCAGAAAACCAATTTTAGGAAAAAAATGAAATTCGTTTGAACAGGAAATACGGGGTTATTCCTATCCGAGATGAATTGCAGCCGGAAAAACATTGACCTTCAAATCCACGGGGTTCAAAAATTTTTGCATCCCGGAAAATCTGCGAGGGAAATATTTTACGAAGGCTTTTTTAAGATTTATTCGTATGCCGGATAAACTCATCTGCTGTGGATTGATGAAATTTCAGAACGTTCTTCTTGATTTCTTTGCGATCTACTGAAAAGTCAAACTTGGAAAATGTGGTACTTTTGATGTTTTGAATGTAGGGTAAATTTTTTGAAGAAATTGTCTATGAAAATAAAAACGATTGAAGAAAAGTAAAAAAAGTTGAAGGCATGTTTTTCCCAGATGTGGAGCGCATATTTGAAAATAAATTTATTGATTCTTCCAACAAAATTATTCACAAGAATTAGCACATTTGAGGTTTCTGAAAAAAATCTGTTCAGCAGTTGCTTGAAATAATTTCCAAGAACTCGTCTGGTATTTTTTGAGAATAATTTATTGCTAAATTGAATTTATTTATTTATTGGGTGTATTTTTGAGAAACCGAAACTCTGACATTTCTTGCAAAAAATTTTCTAGTGACTGGAATAAATACTGACTGCATTTGCTTTAGGCAGCCTTTTTTTAAAGAAAACCTGCGGTATTTCTTGTAAAATAATTTCTCGTAAAACAAATTTAGTGGTTGGCCTTTTTTTAAGAACCCAAACTCTTACATTTGCTGCAAATAATTTCCTGGTGACTAGGAAAAACTGATTTTGCTATGCAGATTTTTTTTTCAGAAAACCTCAGATATTTCTTGAAATAATCGTTGGTTGGCACTATTTTCAAAAATTATGCGAACCAAGATTATTTTTACAGAGATGACTCTCTGATATTCTTTGATTTTCTTACAATGATCAGGGCCATCACAAATCTGTGATGAAACTCCAGAAACTGGGTTGTGGTCTTCAAAGCTGGGTCTGGGTCACAAGCAAAACAAACAAGCCCGAGTCCCGTCCTTCCGGGAAGAGCAAACAAATCGGCGCGCTGCTGGAACGCATGTGCATATACAGTATATATAATGAGAGGGGACAAAAAAAGTCACTAGTTCACTATGCATACAGTATTTCCCCTGCTATAGTGAAGAAACTTAGTTTAAAAAATAATTTTCTCTTCCTGGACGTGCTCCTGCTCGCCAGCATCGTGTTACACTTGCCCGCTCTCATAGCCTGTCCGACCGTTTACGCTGTCCCGGACGGGACTGGTTTACAAATGGTATCCCGTATATATAATGGACGCCTCGCACAATAGACTTCCATGCGAAAATAATTCAAACTGCCAATTTGCTTTTCCATTGTGGAACTGATTATATGAAGGATAATGGCTACTGTTCAGCTAAATCTAATTTGTTTTGTGAGTTTGGTAGTATAATACAAGCATTTTTTTCTAGTGTTGGAAAGCCTTTTGACTTTTTAAAATTGTTTTGATCATTTCACTCTCAATTTCAATTATTTTTGAGGCGTTTTTAGAATTATATGTTAAACATACTGTGTTTACAGGATTCAGTAATCTGCTATAATGCTAATTCTTGAATTTATAGTTGGATTCCTGCTGCGCATTACATGATGAATAGCTTCACCTCAATTGATCAAGAAATGTTTTGGAAGTTTGGAAGAAATTTGTAATCAATTATCTAGTGAATTCAATCATTTTACAGTATGATGTGTTTTGAATAAAGGAAGTTAGAGGCTTCCTGAAGTGAAAGGCAAATAAACCCTTGATCCAATAAGTTCCATGGTCTGCAGAATTTTTTTGTTGGTCCACAGGAAATTTTCTTTAGGATTAAAAAAGTCATCAAAAGTATAGCAATGCAGTCTGTTTGTTTTCTGACATTTTGGAAAGACAATTGCAGTTGATACAATCTGATGAAAAGTAAAAGTTGGCTTTTCTCTTAATAAAACATCAACAAATTTGCATTCACTAAACTAAATTATTTAGGTTTTATTCTGAGAAAATTTTCTTCATGCCCAGCTTTCAAATTTTTTGAAGACATTCCACTATAGCTTCTTCATTGGTTCTTGACTTAATTTTAAAAAATCAGAAACTTTTTAAATACTTCACCTGCTATACAGTCTTTCAAGAACAACTTTTTGGGTGTGCAATCATTTTATGAAACTTTGCCAGTCCACTGGAATTTTTAGTTGGAAACTTGTCAGTCTGCTGGCCCCAAAACTGTGGGGAACACTGCTCTTAAGTGAAGTTGCCTTACAAAATGCAAATTATTGGGCATGCAACCTTTTTTATGCTGATTTTGTTCAGCCCATCATACTTTGAACCACTGCTGCTTCTGGTCCTGGGTGTACTGTTGGGACACGTTGAACTTTGGGATAATCCATGCGAGTGGACCAGCATGGCCGTGAAGGGTTTGAGGTCACCTCCGGCCCGCTGTTCAGT